CTATTCACTATTAGCTAGTTGCTTATTAGCATGCATATTACTAGCATATTGGCTGTTTATTAGAACTTAAAAAGCTCATATGAATGCCTTATTCTGCATGGCCATATTCTAGATCCCTTAAAGGTAGGGTAGGCAATTTCAGAGAGGCTAGCAATAGCAAGCTAGCTTTGAAAGCATAAGATCCCACCCTCCCTGCAAATCACTCTCCAAAGCCACGCCTCCTCCAAAACACATGAACCGGTGAGAAAACATTACAGTCCAAAGTGCATAATATTAAAATAATAACACCTTCCATTCTCACTCGGTCTGCAATAGCGTAACGGAACGCGCTGATGACGTACCATGTCTGTGTGAACAGGGTGCGCAGAGGTATGCAAATACATACATTGACAGGCAGGACAGCCTATCGTAGCCCTCGGATCGATGATAGATGATATGAATACATTTAGACAACTTAACCTAGTGATTGCTATCGGGATGTGAAGGGACTTTCAAACAGCATAATAAAAAATGTTTTGGAACCAAATCACCTACCCTGCCTTTAACCCTACCCCATACATGAACACAACTACTACAACAACTAGCTTATTTACTATCAGTAAGCAGCTAATTTTGAGTTTATTGAGGGAAAAATCTTAGTCAATAGTGAATATATGTAGAGCCAGTGGAGGGGCGGTGTGATGACAGAGTACTAAGGTTCAATATAATTTGGGCATTTGATCCTGGATGAGCTGCAGAAGTTTCACTGAGAGGCTGGCCAGAAATGAGATACTATATACGACTAGGGCTTGTACTATAGGACCTGAGTAGCTTGCCTAGAAAGGTGCAGAAGTAATGTATTGACTGTGCAGTGCCAGAAAAAATGTGCAAAAATTGTGCAAAAAAACCTTTAGAGGTATAACAGTTTGTCACTGGTGAAGTGCCCTTAAAAGGACAACTTTGTACCTTATCTACACCTAAAAGGTGCATGTTAGTAACTTAGAGTTGTGGAATGTACTCTGTAGTACTATGAACCTTTTAGGGGTAAATGAGGTACGAAGATGTCCTTCTGAGGGTACTGCCCCAGTGACGAGATGTTGTTCCCCTGAAGGTGCTATTTGTGCACACTGAGTATGGGTAGCGTGTGGGATGCATATGACAGACCGTTGTCCAGTGTGGTGCCAAGGTTCTTGGCTTTATGTGGGGAAATGACCGTGTTGTCTATGACGAGGTCTTGGCAAGGATGTTTCTTGGCTGGGATGAACAGCAGTGTTTTTAGTAAATTCCGCATCAGATGATGGGCATTTATCCATGCACAAATGCATTTCCAGGTGATAACTTGACTAAGTGATTTGGTGTGAAGTCAGAATACACTTAGCACTGATCCTGTGGAAAATGAATGGGTAGTTGATGTGGCGATAAAGCAGATCCTTTTCATGGTAACTGGTTAGTTCTGCTCTGAGCCTGTAATGTCTGCTTCATTGAGAGTAAGGAGAAGGATTTGGTGGTTCACAGTGTTGAGTGCTGCTTCTTTTATTGAAAGAGACTGGGCCCCCCTCAGACACACACACACACACACACACCATGCCCTCCCCATCCGTGTCTGGGACATTGTCACCAGGCTTGGTACTCCTGAAGTACCCCCCACCCTCCAAGGGTCTTTGTCACTGTAAGTCCTTCTGCAGACTGAAACAGTGCCAAACCTCACTCACTCACACACACACACACAGATATAATGTGTCCTTTCCCAAAGGCTCATTCAGAAAGGCCGTTTGCTTGTCAGAATGCATCGAGCAGATCTGCGCAGATTGAAAACGCTCGATGAAATGGAAAAGTGGGGAGAGAGCGACTTATGCCATTATCTAGTATTGGGTAGAAGTGTGTCACATGTGTAACAAGGACACATTAAAACAGTCACAAGTGATATCAAAATGTGACTACACTTATAAATGTGTGGCACCCATCCAGCCAGCTGTATTTTAAAATGTATTTGCCTCAAATTATTCATTTTTTATTTTTCTAATTTTTTAAACAGAGAGATGAAATTGCATTGTTGCAAAATGTTCTAGCAAGTTCATGTTGTAACATGAAATGTAACTGGTTTTAAATAGAGTCATGTTTTTCAATATGTTTTGCATAGCTGGGAGACAGAAGAAACTATAACATTCTTTATTTATGCTTTATTTTTCCTTTTTGAAGTGTAAGGGTTAAAACCAGCATCTTTTGGTTTGTTCTCTTGGCGTACAGTGGTACGCTGTATAGGTGTGGAGAATTAAGCAAGCCACTGGCAAGGAATGAGGTGTGGTCTACATGACCGTCTCCAGTGCCTTATCTGCTGCAAACACACGCTCGTGTACAGTGACCTCACATTTTACGCATGTAGGGGACTCTCCAAAAAATGTTTCAGGGTTAAAAAATGCATTTCTGAAAAGGTAATAAAAATCTAAACCAAAAATCTGGACTTAAACTTAGAAAGAAGACTAAAATCTGTCACTCTTCCTACTGTTAGGGTTAGGTAAGTTATTTTTGCAAAAAAAAAAATCATTTATAGTGATTTTTAAAGTACCAAGTTTGAAATATTGAAATATAAGACTTTTTTAACTGTGTAAAATAGCACGTGGTTTTAGGAAATATAACAGAAAAAATTTAATCATATATGCAAAAAAGTCTCAAAATGTACACATTATTACTACATAGAGTATCCCATATCCTGTACATATACTTTTAGATTATAGTATACATTATTGTTCAAAGGTTTGGGGTCGGTAAGATTTTTTTTGTGCTTTTAAAAGAATGTGTGTGAGTGTGTGTGTGTGTGTGCGTGTGTGTGTGTGAGTGAGTGTGTGTGTGTGTGTGTGTGTGTGAGGGTGAGGGAGTGTGTGTGTGTGTGTGTGTGTGAGTGAGTGAGTGTGTGTGTGTGTGTGTGTGTCCATGTCTCCATGTACTTGTCAAGTATATTTGATCAGTGGACCAGCCCTGCTGCTCGTGAAGGTACACACTCTCACACATTCCCACTGCCGCCAGCAACAACACAACACATACAATGCAGCTCAGTCTCAAGGATGTGAAAATCTGTGGAAATCTGTTCACTTAAGCCACAGAAGCGATTGAATCCAGACATGTGATTAAAATCTTAAGGAGTTGTTCTGGAATTATGCAAATGTGTATGTACTCTATATAAATGGGCTTTTTAGAAATCATTTGATCTTTGGCTGAAAGTGTGAAAACCTCTGTTTAGTGTGTTTATCAGACTGAAGAAACCATGGAATGGTTCATTTATACTCAGTGAATCATCTTAGGACCGGGGTGTCCAAACTTTTTTTTTTTTTGTGTGTACTTCTAAATTTTTATATTTATTTTTTCATTAGTTAATTACACAAATTTATTTAATATAGCATTGCAATTTCTGTCACAACCGCACACACAGCCTGCAGCTCCCTCATGAGCCTCTAGTTGGCTTTGATCATCAAGCTATAATGATGAGAAAGTTTGTCTCCACGTATAATAATGTGTTCAATTTATTTATTATTTGAGTCTTGATGCCAAATATTCTTAATATGATTTTGAAGATGCACTGCTGAGAAGAGAAAAAAAACTCAATGCTTTTCAGTAATTTTCTATATTTAGATGAATGTTAAGGTTAGGAAGGTCACTGCAATAGAGAACAATCAGATTCGTTCTTTATCTGTCTTTGTGTCTGACTGCTTTGGTTTTGGGTTTTATTGAGAATCATTTGATTTGAACAAATGAGCTTTAACAGTAGATAAAATATGAATGAACTTTTTCCAGTTCTTTCTCTCATTCTAACCGCTGCTCTGATGCTTTTTACTCTTTCCTTTTGCAGTTTGTCTGTTCTTTGAGATAATCTGAATGTTTGTGTACTTAAGGTCGACAAAATATACAGTACACATGTGTGTCCATTCGTCTTTCTCACACAGGAAAAAAATACAGAAAACAACATGTTATCTTTTTACCCAGGTGTGCTGTATGTATTTGTGTATGTATCTAATGTTGAAAATCTTGTCCTTCGATTTGTTTTCATTTACAGTGTTTTCTGGTTTTGTCCCATTTTGTTGCTGTTGTTGTTTTACTTCAACATCAATATTTAAAAAAATAAAAAAGCACAAAACCAGTTATAAGGAGATAATCTGAATGTTTGTGTACTTAAGGTCGACAAAATATACAGTACACATGTGTGTCCATTCGTCTTTCTCACACAGGAAAAAAATACAGAAAACAACATGTTATCTTTTTACCCAGGTGTGCTGTATGTATTTGTGTATGTATCTAATGTTGAAAATCTTGTCCTTCGATTTGTTTTCATTTACAGTGTTTTCTGGTTTTGTCCCATTTTGTTGCTGTTGTTGTTTTACTTCAACATCAATATTTAAAAAAATAAAAAAGTTAACCAAATGTGACCCTAGAGCACAAAACCAGTTATAAGGGTAAATTTTTCGAAATTGAGATTTATGCATCATCTGAAAGCTGAATAAATAAGCTTTCCATTGATGTAAGGTTTGTTAGGATCGGACAATATTTGGTCGAGATGCAGCTATTTGAAAATCTGGAATCTGAGGGTGCAAAAAAATCTAAATATTGAGAAAATCATCTTTAAAGTTGCCCAAATGAAGTTCTTAGCAATGCATATTACTAATCAAACATTAAGTTTTGATATATTTACGGTAGGAAATTTACAAATATCTTCATGGAACATGATCTTTACTTAATATCCTAATGATTTTTGGCATAAAGGAAAAATTTATAATTTTGACCCGTACAATGTATTGTTGGCTATTGCTGCAGATATCCCCCAGCGACTCAACACTGCTTTTGTGCTCCAGGCTCACAAATGTTTTGTCACAATTGTTATCTTATATAGCACTCCTCACATGTGAGATTCTATGAAGTTCTGGAAATACAGAGAGCTGGCACAAAAGCAGTTTTCACAATATAATTAAACCATTAAAACTTCTAACTCTTAAATTCTACCCTCCTGTATTACTTCCTGTATTTTTTCTCAGGCTGATGCTGGCACCAGTTTCCTCCGTGCAGCTCGCTCAGGTAATCTGGAAAAGGCTCTCGACCACATCAAGAATGGCATCGACGTCAACACAGCCAATCAGGTAAGACTTCCTCAACTCCCTGTATTCCTCAAGAGGAAAAAAAAACATATGATTCATTGTTCGATTGAGTCACAGCCAGGCTTCATTTGGAGGTGAAATGTCTGTTTGCAGAAGTGAATCTTCTTACAGATAAATGCTTGATCTCGAGAGGCGCTCTAGAAGACAAAATGTGAAAGATGTGTGATCTCAGATGATCTAGAGCACACAGGGCCACTTCGCACACTTCATTATTTCCGTGATGTGACAATAGTCCTTAAACTCATAAAATTAAAGCTTCCAAAAGGCTTTTTTTTTGCAGCAATGCCATAGAAGAACCTTTAAGTGATTAGTTCTTAAAATAACCTTTTTGTTTTACCTTTTGAAATTTTTAAATTCTACATTTTAAAAATTCTAAAGAACCTTTTCCACTATGAAGAACCTTTTGTGCAATGGAAAGCTTCCATGGATAGTAAGGCTTTTAGTGGAAGCATCAATGCCAAGAGCCTTTATTTTTAAGAGGGTAGGAGAACTGGTGATCAGAAGGACCTTACCTATAATGGGAGTGAGATCCATATGTGACCCTGGACCACAAAATGGTAAATTTTTCAAAATAAGTACTTAAGCTGTATGGTTTGTTAGGATCGGACAATATTTGGCTGAGATACAACTATTTGAAAATCTGAGGGTGCAAAAAAATCTAAATATTGAGAAAATCATCTTTAAAGTTGTCCAAATGAAGTTCTTAGCAATGCATTTTGATATATTTACGGTAGGAAATTTACAAAATATCTTCATGGAACACGATCTTTACTTTAATATGCTAATGATTTTTGGCATAAAAGAAAAATCGATAATTTTGACCCATACAATGTATTTTTGGCTATTGCTACAAATATACCCCAGCGACTTAAGACTGCTTTTGTGCTGCAGGGTCACATATCGTCTTGAATTTTGCTCCAGAGATAGTAAAGAGCAGGGCAGAGAGCAACTTCAGGATAAGCCTTGGTATTGAATGCTATTCTGAGCCAAGCTTAAGAGTGGCTTTCAATGGCTCAGAATGCTACTTGGGTGATGAAGATCAGGAGAGTAGCTAAGTGTTCAGATTTCATAACAAAATGGTCAATTTTTCAAAATAAGTACTTAAGCTGTATGGTTTGTTAGGATCGGACAATATTTGGCTGAGATACAACTATTTGAAAATCTGAGGGTGCAAAAAAATCTAAATATTGAGAAAATCATCTTTAAAGTTGTCCAAATGAAGTTCTTAGCAATGCGTTTTGATATATTTACGGTAGGAAATTTACAAAATATCTTCATGGAACACGATCTTTACTTTAATATGCTAATGATTTTTGGCATAAAAGAAAAATCGATAATTTTGACCCATACAATGTATTTTTGGCTATTGCTACAAATATACCCCAGCGACTTAAGACTGCTTTTGTGCTCCAGGGTCACATATCGTCTTGAATTTTGCTCCAGAGATGGTAAAGAGCAGGGCAGAGAGCAACTTCAGGATAAGCCTTGGTATTGAATGCCATTCCCAGCCAAGCTTAAGAGTGGCTTTCAATGGCTCAGAATGCTACTTAGGTGATGAAGATCAGGAGAGTAGCTAAGTGTTCAGATTTCATAATTACTCTTCTTTGATGAACATGTCCGGTTCAACTCAAATTGCTTGCTGTGCCGTTTAAGGGTGTGTCTTTTCACCCGATATTTGTGCTAAACTACCTTCTTTACCTTGGTGGACCTGATTGGAAATAATTTTCTTTTTCCGTGTCTGAATTGCGCACAGATTTTATTGTGTGTGTACAGTAGATGCATTCATGTCCATTTCTTTTCCCTTTAGCCTGTTCGTACACTGACATGTCTATGCCCTTTGATTAATGCCTGCATGCGTTGTGTGTGATGACTTCAGCGTTTTGCTCCATTTAGTCGTCATACTGAAGCAAACGTGTGTGAACATGTCCGGTTCAACTCAAATTGCTTGCTGTGCCGTTTAAGGGTGTGTCTTTTCACCCGATATTTGTGCTAAACTACCTTCTTTACCTTGGTGGACCTGATTGGAAATAATTTTCTTTTTCCGTGTCTGAATTGCGCACAGATTTTATTGTGTGTGTACAGTAGATGCATTCATGTCCATTTCTTTTCCCTTTAGCCTGTTTGTAAACTGACATGTCCATGCCCTTTGATTAATGCCTGCATGCGTTGTGTGTGATGACTTCAGCGTTTTGCTCCATTTAGTCGTCATACTGAAGCAAACGTGTGAGTAGGTCTACTGAACTCACAATGCACCGCTGAGCTCTTTCAAAAACCTGCTGCCAGACCCTTGAGCTATAGGACACATAGGCTATATTGCAAAAACAATATTTTCTTAGTATGATTGTCTTGGCCTAAATTCAATATCTAAACATTCTTAAAGCAAGACAGACTTAAGCCCTATTCGGACGGTAATAGTTTCTCGTGTGGACGTCTGTAAAAGCAAATTTACATGGCACCTCAGTGATAAAACTCATGGATTCAGATGTTGATTTATTCACAGTGGAGAAGCGAGTTCTGTGATCGTGCTCACGTGGCCAGTCGCATGATTGTCTGCTGAAAATAAAATGTCATACGCCAAACTGACCCCAAACCAGCCCAAATTTTGTCCACCCGCACATTCAAATTCAAAACCGCCCAATCTGGCAACATTGGCTGCGAGATCTAGCGAGAAGCATTCAAACTCTGCACAGAATTATCTGTTATAAACAGATCAAACAGCGCTGACGCACAAAACCAGAAGTAGTAACGCTAACTATAGCCATAGTGTTGTTGCAGAAATAGTCGGATGTTCTTACATTATTAATTTCAGGGTTTGTACAACCCTTTGAGAGAGAAATTCAAGCACTTTTCTGTGACTTTCAAGCATTCCACAAAACTATTTCCAGCATTTTAAAGCTCTATAAATGATCCAATTTGAATGTTATTTTTAACGGGATGACCAAAATATACATTGTGGTAAACAAACACTTAATAAAATAAAATACATTTTAAAATACATTTTTTAAAAATACATCAAATCACCAATATAACCAGTAGATGGCAGCAGAGGAGCACTTATTGGCTTTTAGTCATTCATTTCTACTTTTTGCTTTATATTTTGAAATTATAAAATCACTATTAAAATATCAAATCATCAAGAAATCAAATTTTGTCAGAGTTTTGCACTTTTTTGTGTCACAAAGTTCATTGAAAAACTAACTTTTCTTCAATTTGCAACTGAATCCCACAAAGTGCGTTCCTATCATAATCACTGAAGTTGTCGTTCAGTTCAGTATAATACTATAGAAGAATAGTGACACACTTTACTTAAAATGGTTTTCTGTCTTGCATTTTATCTCTCGAAATGATGGATGTCACTAAAAATGTGGAGATTAGCAGACATAAGTTAATGCAAGTTCTTATTTACATGAGATAAACATAAAGCTGCTTGGTTAATATTTGTATGCATATAATTGTATATAATACATATTTTAAAATTGTATTGCATACCTGTTGCTTCCACAAAAATGACCCGTTTCAAATGTTTGTGTGCTTTTCTTCTCTTTCTTCTTTTTGTTCTTAACAGCTCCCACTCGCTGTGGTGGAGCAGTTATGAAATATTGAAAAAACTAAACAAATCAGTAATAAATATGCATGCAAATCACGGCGAAGTGCAACAGTTACTGTGTTCGGCACTGAATTTTGAATCAATTTCTTCTTGTAAACTCAGAGATGTGGATTCGGACTGTAGTTCATCCGGGGATTTTTATGCGGGGGGTGGGAGAAAAACACCAAAATTCTGGATTCAGACGGCAATAAATCACTGACTAACGCCTGTAAATTTTGAGAATAGCTTACGTCGCCATGAGAGACAATTACCATCCGAATCGGCCTTTACTTGACAAAACTGTATAAGATAAACAGACTTGTTTTCTGTGAATATAACTCAAATATGTTTTTTTAACCTCATAAATAAAATGTTTTGCTGTCTTGTTTTTAGCAGATATCTAACAAAATTTACAAGAAAAAAAAGCGATTTGTCAATGTGAACAAACAGTACACTTATACTTATACATTCTTTATTCTCTTCCATAACATATTGTCCAATAAATTAAAGATACATTTGTTTTTGTATACTAATTAAGAAAATATTTTTGCATGGATATTTGTGTTTGTTTGGAACAGAATGCTAGCATTCTGCTTAGAACTACTGTATAAAGCCTATTTTTTCCCCCACAAAAATATTATATAATGCAGTAATCAATATACTCTACATAAATGAGATGTCTATTAACATTTACTGACTGATGCAAAAAAAGATATATATAAGGTGTGCAAGTTGATCATTACACCTTTTCCAATGACAGAGTTTGACATCTCTGCATCGCCACTTAATTGTGCAACTTTTGTTCTGCAGATGCAGCTTTATATCTGTTCAGTATTTCTTCTTCATCCATCCATTCTTTTTCTTTTGCTCCTTCGTTTCTTTCTTTGAGACACATTGAGATGGGGTGAGTGGTCTCTACACTCGGAGGGGATAATATCAGCAATGTGAGAAAGGTCCAACCTCACATGTCCTGTGAGGCTGAAGGAAGGCTGTGTGAGGTTAGACCTATCCCACATGGCCTGTATTCTTCCCAGCAGAGAGACCACCGGCCTGATCATCACCATCATCATCATCATCATCATCATCATCATCATCATCATCGGTTGATGTCATTTGACAGTGCTCTGTGTGTTTCGTGAGAGTGGGAGTGATCTACAACCCCCCACATCCCCATTTCAGTCTCTTTGGGACATTACAAGACTGCATAATTTGAGATCAAATCACCTTCAGAGTGAGTTTGCTCTGCTGTCTCTTTCTCTTCACAGAATGGACTCAACGGGCTGCACCTGGCCTCGAAAGAAGGCCATGTTAAAATGGTGCTGGAACTATTGCACCACGGTATTGTTCTAGAGACGACCACAAAGGTAAGACTTGGTGGCCAGGCATTTACCAGAATTAAAGGCACAGTATGTAATTTTTCGCCGCTAGAGGGCGCGTATTTAAAATAAACAAAGAGACAAAGGCGTAGTTTGATGACGCCGTGACTGAGTGTGCAATCATGGGAGTTGTCGTCTTCATCCTCACAGCCATCGCAATCCGACGGGACTCGGGCAGAAATCATGTTCATGGATGAGCTAATGATTTATTAACGTAGTAGAATGAAGCAGAGTGAGGCTGAAAGCCGTCGAAGCGAAGCCGCTGAACGAACGTGACACAAGGCTCGAAAGCAGCGGAGCTTTTATTATGCCACAGTCGACCGCTTCCGCTGCTTCTGGTCGTGCGTATGGGGGGTAAAGCAGCGGAGCTTTTATTATGCCACAGTCGACCGCTTCCGCTGCTTCTGGTCGTGCGTATGGGGGGTAAAGCAGCGGAGCTTTTATTATGCCACAGTCGACCGCTTCCGCTGCTTCTGGTCGTGCGTATGGGGGGTAAAGCAGCGGAGCTTTTATTATGCCACAGTCGACCGCTTCCGCTGCTTCTGGTCGTGCGTATGGGGGGTAAAGCAGCGGAGCTTTTATTATGCCACAGTCGCGCGCTTCCGCTGCTTCCGGTCGTGTGTATGTGGGGTAAAGCAGCTACTAGATACACTTGAAAGATCTGTTATAATGCTACTCTGTGCGGTCGTCACCGGTCTATTAAAACGCACAACATATTAAAGCGTCTTTATAATTTTTCTATAATCTGCAAGTACATTTTTAATAAAACAAATATATATGTTTGTAATTCGAAGTACACTAGTGCACATTTAATACAATTAGGCACTCTACTTTTTCACAACGGAATGCTTGATTTTTAAAACAATGCATGTGATTAGAAAAAATAAAACATTTTCTGTGTCATTAAATAAGATATTTCTCTTATAGAAAGGAAACACTGCTCTTCACATAGCTGCGTTAGCTGGACAGGAGCAGGTGGTCACAGAGCTGGTTAACTATGGAGCCAATGTCAACGCTCAGTCTCAGGTGAGCTAATAACCGGGTTGGTTACTGTGTTACTGTATAATATTCAGCTATCTGCGAGCAGTCCCCTAATGTTGACCTAAATCACAATATAAGAGAGTGGTTTATGTGTTTTCTTCTCCCCAGTTGGATGTTCTGTAGTTCATTTGAACAGTTGAGTGTTTTTAAATGTATGCAGCATTGCTGTCCGAACTATAATCTGTCTGCCTGTATTGTCATCTGTGTATTTGTGTGCTTGTTAGTTTGGTATTGTATCTGCATATGGGTGTTTATGTCTGTCTGCAACAGAAGGGCTTCACTCCTCTATACATGGCTGCACAAGAGAATCACCTGGAGGTTGTGAAGTTTCTCCTGGACAATGGAGCCAATCAGACCATTCCAACTGAGGTAATGCTGCGCTTGTGAAATAAAGCAGTACTCTTTAGCATGCCTTTAAAAATGTATGAGTATGTATTAGTGGAATAATATACTTTAAAAGAATAATCTTAAAGGGATAGTTCACTCAAAAATGAAAATGCTGTCATCATTTACTCCCCCTTCCAAACATGAGTTTCTTTCTTCTGTTGAACACAAAAGGAGATATTTTGAGTAATGTGTATAACCAAACAGTTAACCAAATGTAATGTTTCCGGATGCTTAAATGCATGTTAATTGCAATTAAATGAAAAAGTATTATAATTGTATTAAATTTATATTAAATGCAGTTATCTGAACTTAAGGGTGTTTTTAACCCACTTATGTAGGAATTAAGGATATCTTTGCATGTCATGATTATTCATATTCATAATAACTGTATTGCATGCCATGTATTTAAATATATTTGTATATTTGAAGCAGCTTAGTACATTTAGCACATATTAACTTGTAAATCACATATTAATATAACACTGCAGTTAAAATTACAATCACATACTTTACATGTGCTTTAGTATGTTAGTCAACACATTAAAATAAGTGCACTTATTTAAAGGATGACAAAAGATTATTAAAACATAATGATTTAAAATGTACTTCAAAGTAAAACTTGACATGATTTCAATGTGCACTTAAGTGTGTTAAGAAACAGTCATGAAAGTGTCTCTCTTTAAATACACTTATTTCATTAGTATTATATTATTTGCAAGTACATTATTTAAACATTTACTTTAAGATATGAAGTACACTACAAGTGCACATTCAATACAATTAAGCACACTTATTTTTGGGTCGGATCAAACTTTACTGCACCAAAAGGAAACGTTTAGCATGTTAAGCCAACAGAGGTTGCACACTTACCTTAACCTGCCATTTTCAGGTTATTGAGAGAAATATGGGTGTTCATGTAAAAAAAAAAAAATCTGAAAATGTGTGTCTTGTGTGTTTGTCTTTCTTGCAGGATGGCTTTACCCCTCTTGCTGTGGCTCTTCAGCAGGGCCATGAGAATGTGGTGGCCCTGCTCATCAACCACGGTACTAAGGGCAAGGTCCGCCTTCCCGCACTGCATATCGCTGCCCGAAACGATGACACCCGAACTGCCGCTGTGCTTTTACAGAATGACCCAAATCCTGATGTCTTAAGCAAGGTTTGTGTAAACTGATGGAAAACCTCTTTCCTTGCTCTTTTCCTATTCAACTGGACATCTAGTAATGTATCATAATAAATCATATAAATCTGTGTAAGCACACTAAAGTTCAAAAGTTTGGGGTCAGTAGTAATTTATTTTATTTATTTTGAATTAAAACTTTTATTCAGCAAGGTTACCAAAAAGAAGTATACTTCAAGTTTATTTGAATAAGTATTTTATTTTATTAAGTAGACTTAAAGAAAGTTCAATTATATTTTTAAGTATACTATATGTAGTAAGTATACATATATCAGAGTACTAGTAGTATACTTGTAAGTGTACTATTTCAATACTCCTTGGGACTAAATTGGCCCACTTTCTAGTATATACAAGTATACTTTTAAGTATAACAGTAGTAGACTTTGAGTACACAACTAGTTTACATCTATGTTTTTAGCGTGTACTGCAACTATACTAAAAGTGAACTAGGTATACTGATAGTTTACTAATTAAATACTTGTAGCATTTTTAGTACACTTTGAAGTATAGTCTCAGTAAACTACTAGTTTAATAGTTTTATACTTCAAGTATACTCGTATTGTTACATGAATATCTGAACATACAAAACATCAAAAGAACAGAGTATCTGCTTGTAAACAAAAACGTTTTATTCTAGCTTCATGCATTATTTTTTGTAAACACTTGAATGTGGGTAAGTTTCATAAATAAAGGAATAAATAAACACCATTTTGAACAAAAAGCTGAAAAAATATTAATTGAATTCAGAATGATAATCAAAACGTAGACGGAGTCGACATTTTATTCCATAACGTTACACAGTTTTGATGCTGTTTTATGTCTGATGATCGTGTTAGATTACACGTG